GGGGGGGGGCACTGGGCACTGCGTGAGAAGCGCGGTGCAGCTGCGTGCGTTGGGGCCTATGTTGCGTCCCCTGAAGCAGTTCTGGTGCGTTCCGGAAGAGGCGGCGCGGCAGCACGCAGCGCTGAGCTCTCCCGCCTTGCGTCCTTTCAGAGGCTGAAGGCTGCGGTTCACTACACGGTTGGCTGCCTGTGTCAGGATGTTGCAGAAGACAAGGACGTGCAATTCAGCAAGCAAACCATTGCCGCTATCGCAGAGATCACCTTCAGGCAGTGTGGTACCGGAGTTTGCATGTTATCTGTTTGTCCAAGAGCAATTGCTGGAAAAACGGTGCTTTCGGAAAAATAGCACTGGCACCAGGTATCACTGGTGCACTGTTTCTTGCATTACATTTTTAAAGTACAAGAAATAGTGATTCTGTTTTTCAGACCTGGAAGAAGCATTTACGTGTGGAAATACTGTGTGGGCCACCTGCCAGCGCAACAGAGTGGCACGTCATAACGAGTTCTGGTTGCTTCTCATAGCTACCTTGGATAATTTGCAGTTACACCTTTGTAACAGCTAGAACTGTATTATGTATCTCTTCCTACTCAGAGTTAGCATTTTAAAATATGTTGCGTCTTTTTGTTTTCTCCAGAGAACTTTGCAAAAGACCTCGAAATGTTTGCAAGGTAGGTGCTGGAACACTTGATTATTACAAAGGCTTTCTTTTTCTGTACTTGGCCCCAATAACTAGCTAATCTTTAAAATAATGTCTTGTAATTCAAGTTTTAAAGGATTTTCTGTTGGCTGAAATAGATTTAATAATTTATTTAATTATTTAATAATAGTGGCTGTGAAGTTAGGAAATAGCTATTCCCCTGTGGGTTCTTGTATAAGTGGTACAAGTGGTTGTTAGATTAATGACTGTATGTAATTGTCAAATGCATTGATATGTAGCGGTACTGGATGGTTTGGGAGTGTCAGGTGCTTACTAGAATGCCTGTGTTTCATCTGGTTGCTCCAAGGAGGTAAGAGAATGTTTTAAGGAGTCAAAACTTAACACAGTGACCTACTGGCAAGTAAGAGGGAACAGAACAGTGGTGCTTGAAGTTCTGTTTGCTAAATTCTACTGGTTTTACACAGGAAGTGTGGGAATTTAGATGTACATAACATGTAAAATAAGTTTTTTGTGTATTATAGGTGGAAAAGATAGGCATGTTTGGTTTACTAGGTCCCTATTAGGCCCTTTTAGTTAATGTTCTGAATTAGATGCTGGCAAACACATTAAAGGGGTATTTTTTAATTTTATGCAGGCATGCAAAACGGAGCACAGTCACTACAGAAGATGTGAAGCTTTTGGCTAGAAGGAGCAATTCTTTGGTGAGATTCACTGTATTTTCTGTCTCACAACATTCTTAAACCAATTGTTTAATTCCTAAGAGCATCTGAATGAAAGCTGTAGATGATGACGCAACTGTTGCCCAAGCAATTTTGCTGGCTTATAGATGATGGATGGGCACAATCCAGTGATTTTATTATTTTCATCTTATTTTGCTTCATGACACTATGCATCACTGTGGGAACACAGATCTGATTGCAATTCAAGCAGCAATGTTCTGGTTGCAACAGGGCTGCTGAGGTTCCGAGTACAAAAGTGCAATAAACAGACACATTACAGCATTGCCCATCTTGGAAGTAAATAACCTTTTTTTTTTGTTTTTCTTTCCCCCCCGACACTGCGTTCCTTTGTTTTAGCCTAAGGTCAGGAATACCCTGAGTCCACCTTGAGATGCTAAGTCTAGAATTAATATAGGGATGGTTCACATTATTGTATTCTCTCATGTGCTGATCTGTATGATCTTCAGTGGACTTAAATTCACTAATGTGTTAAGACATACCTGTACATGCTTTAAGACATACCTGTACATGCTTCCATGAAGAAGAATACTTCCAATACTAGTTATAATTTTATGTGAGGGAATTTTTTCCTTCCATCTATGATTTGAAATATACAACATGAACTTGCCTAAGAAGGCATAGTAAATGCTGGAGCTGAATTTTGTGGTCCTAACTATCATGTGCTGTTTATGTCAAGTGGGTGCAGAGGAATCTTGCAATGTTTCTGTACTGGGGTTGTATCTCGGCAAGCTACAACTCTGAGAAACTGCTAATATTGCTGTCTTGGTTCTAGAGATGGATGTAACATACATTTATCAATCCTAGTCTTGCCAGGGCATTTCAGTATCTGAGGATATCCAGCTTAGACTGAGGGCTTTGTGCAAGAATTAAAACTAGTTTGTCAGCCTTTTTGGAGCATCTGTCATCTTTTTTGTAATAACAATTTTCCCTGTTAATTTCTCTTAAACATTTCTCTCTAATTTCTCATGAATACATGAAGTTCCTCAGTAGATGACTGATTAGTTTATTGTTCTCAGCTAAAGTATATCACCCAGAAGAGCGAAGAGCTCGCATCAAGTAACATGGAGCAAAAGGAGAAGAAGAAAAAGAAGTCCAGTGCAGCTAAGGGAGGGAGAACTTCTGGGGAACAAGAAGCAGCTGTGGAAAGTGAAGATTCCAACATGGCATGATTTACCTTTCAAGTAATATCTCTGGTCATTTTCTCTTACTATCCTAGAGGAACCCAGGTTAACCTCTTAGAGATTGCTCTTGCAGGTTAGCAACAGTAATGAATCTTTAGATTTTTAGGTGAACGTGATTAGTTGGATTTTTTTTGTTCCAAAAATGAAAGGTCTGTCAGAATTCAGTAAAGCTTATAGCCAAAATGCCTTAATTGCTCACAAAATGGTATCCTGCTGTTATTAAAAAGAAAATCCTTTAAATAAAGAATTTAAAGCAGAACATTCTCACTGACCATAATACCTCAGTATGTGCAACTCCTGCCATGCTGCTACTTAGTTTCTCCAGTAATTGTTTGAATTGCTCCTTGCTTCCATTTTTTATACTTCTGCTTAGGTATATTGAGTATTTTAATTTTGTTTCAATAGCCATATTTCTCACTTGTTGTCTTGACAATTAAAACGTGTTTTGTGTCATTTTTCACCTGTGATACTGCTGGTGTACAGTCTTCACTTTCAATAATTTGCATGCTACTTCTAAATGTTAGGATAGTCACTGGGCTGTGGAGGGGTGGTGAGCAATGTATCACCATTGCCCTCTGCTGGACTGCTACAGCCTTACCAAATGCGGCTGATGCAAAAGAAGATTTAAAGACATAAGGTATTAGACAGATGCAAAAGAAGCAGATTTAAAGACATGAGGTATTAGACAGATACAGCCAAGTGACATGAGAAGGCTGCTTAAGTTACTGCGCGGGCAAACTTCATCAAGCAAGAATATGCTTGCCAAGGATAGTCTAAAATATGCAGCAAGAGAGGAAAGACTTGAACACTGTTTCTTTTGCTCAGCCCTTGATTAATGAGACAAGCTCTTCCTTGAAGCCACTTAGAATCATAGAATCGTTTAGGTTGGAAAAGACCCTTAAGATCATCCAGTCCAACCATTAACCTAACACTACCAAGTCCACCACTAAACCAATTAAGGCTGGAGTAATAATTAATTTCATGTTTCCTGGCTTGGTGGCTGGATTATTTTTTAATGAAAGTAAAACTAGGAATCATTAAGTTTGGAAAGGACCTCTAAGATCATCAGTCCAACCATCAACCCAACACCCCCATGCCTACTAAACCGTGTCCCAAAGTACCACATCTGTGTGTTTTTTTAACACCTCCAGGGATGGTGCCTCCCCCACCTCTCTGGGCAGCCTGTTCCAATGCTTGACCACTCTTTCTGTGAAGAAATTTTTCCTAATATCCAATCTAAATCTCCCCTGATGCAAATTGAGGCCATTTCCTCTCTTGTTCTTTCCTGAAGGATACAGCTTAGGGCAATTCCCCCAAACCAAGTTTAAAAACATCAGGTTCTTATTTTAGTAAGACTCACACCTTAAATAATACCCCAAGATAAAGAAGGTACCAGATGACAGAATATTTTGATCACCCTTGAGAACTACTATGTGTATCCTTGCTCCTTGTTTTAAAACCCTTCTCTTGAAAGAAGAGTGTACTTTCTGGACTGGAGTCACTCAGCTATACATGACACAATGGAAAAAGATAATGCTCTGGACTCCTTCCATGTGCTCCCTTAGTCTTGCTCTGTATTTGAGCTATTAAGCAGTAGTGGATAGGAAAAAAAACATGCCTTCTTTTAGGCTGTAGCTATCCAATATTGATCAAATAAAATCAAGTGCTACAGTGTAGAAGAAAATAGGAATGTCATGAATCCCTATTTCTGGCTCTATACAGGAAATTTTATGCAATGATGCTTTACCTCCCTTTCCCCTATCCCAAACTGTTCTACTTTCAGGGATGAGATATCTTTTAGAAGAATTCTACTGACTGATGTAGGCTAGGTAGATAATAAACTAGCAATTCTGTAATTAAGAGGAAATCTGTCCTCTTGGCATACCAGTGCTTACATTACCCAGTTTTCATACTGTTTGGGTTCTTTTGTTTTGTTTTTTTTTAATGCTACTATACATTACTCGCTTTCTTGAGATTCATGAGGCTTTATTTACCTTAATGTACCCTGGTCATCAACCCAATCCCACAGGAGGTGCAAAAGGTTTTTCTTGGTGCTTTAAGGGAGAAATCATTAATGCAGTGTTAAAGACCATTAATTGAGGATATTCACAGCAAATCTATTGCTGACGAATGAATCGGTTACAAGGCGGAAGCTCTGTTATAAGGTAGGTTTGTCAACTTGAATGTATTCATGATAAAGACTTTAAGTCTTGGCTTTGATGTTCTAAAATTTTTACCCTGAAAAAAACCGTAATGGCAGTCACCCTAGGTTTTCACATGTCTTCTGGCTATGTTTTAGGCCTTCTATACTGTATCGCTCCATCTTGACCCAAACAAAATCCATCCTCGTGAATCATGGGCAGGTCAGTCACTCTGTTCAAAAGTTAAAGCTTCTTAAATATTACAGGTTTAAGATCAAGGAAATGCTAATTTTTGCAGAGTTACAGTGTTCATGCACTTTAAATAAGCTTAAGTGAATCAAACATACTTCATGTCTATAAAATGTAGATCTAATTTAAGGTTACATTAGATTACAGAGCATGTTTTAGGTGGACAGTTTCTCCTGACTTGCATAGGTAAGATAAGCAAAAAATGATCGAGTATCTTTTGTTCTTATCCACTGTTGTGTCTCTAAAGGAGTAAATTCTGTAGGCATCTGGTTGTCAAGACATGTGCAGTTCTGTTTGATTTGCTTCTATTGTTTATTCTGTTCCTTTCTTGAGTAGAAAATTGATACTTATTTCACAGGACTCCTAGGCCTTTAGAAGCATCAAGCATTTTGATATCATAGTAGCTATCTTTCAAGAGGAAGGTCTAGTGGATGTTTATTGCACAGTTTACCTTTTTTTTTTTTTTTGAGGTCATTAAGCCCAACACGTCAGGAAGAAAAATAGTATGTCTCAAAGTTTGTTAGCTCTGATGTTGTGTGTTGTCCTCAGCTAAAATCTGTTACTTCCTCTCCACACATGCATATACACTACTGGAACACAGAAGGTGCTGGCCAATGGCTAAAGACTTACTGAAAAGCTTTGTGATTATTTGCTGTGGAAATATTAGATCTGGCAGCAGCTCTCTGTTATCACCAACAGGAAATTCTAGTTATGAACCGACTTTCAGAATATAATGATCTAAAGATCTATAGTAAAGTCTACACTAAAAAAAAAAAAATCAATTTATATGGATAATTGTACGGTTAGATTTAAAAATCTCATTAAATGGAGATGTTTTAGCAGTTTTCATCTTTGATTGCACTACTGAAAGAGATCCAAGAAGCAATACATAAACTTGACCATCAAAAAAGGATTTTTTATAGAAATTACAGGATGATGTGCAGCACTGAAGTCTCTTAGTAGTTAATTGCTTCTCATATTTCATGGAGACTTTTGAAGGATGTCAACTGTACTAGAGCTTTAAAGAGAGTTAAGTATTATGTACCTTCTCTTTTTGCAAATAATAGTATTACTATTAAGCTGCCAGCTCAGCTTTAGGACAGTGTGTAACTGCAGCTCCCATCAGATTATGAAAATCTGATTGTTAGATTAGAACAGAACAATTAAGACAAAAGTAACAAGTTTAAATCATACTATGCTAGGTCTAGTTGATAATTTGAATTCTGTAACATAAGCACTGCAGCATTTAATAATTTACAGGCCACTAAAGGGCTCTAAAAAGAGGAAAAAGCAGCAATGAAAACTCTCCATTTGTTTTTTTCCTTAAGGCTAGATTGGAAGGACCGTCACTGCCTTCCTACAAGAATGATCAGCACGGTCTCTGTGACTCCAGCTCAGTGTTTGCCTGAAAACAGGCGAGTTGAATACTCCTAATACACACAGGATTGAAGTAATTATGCTCTCTGCTATTTTAAGTAGATGTGAAAAAGCCACAGGTAAAACCCTTCTTCCCTCTTGTACAGGATGAGGAGTAGAATTTCCATTGCCAAGTTGAGCTTGAAAAAAGCAAAAGCATTGCAGCTTTGAGCAAGACTGAAAAACTGTTTTATAACGGAGAGACCAGTAATCACAAGCTGAGACACAAGCTCATAGAAAAAGCTTGCTGACAGCCAGGCTACTCAATGCATACTATTTCACTTGGTAGCCAGTGTAGTTAGCTTTGAGTGCAGTAGAGCATGCTTCAAGAATTCTGTTAATGCACAGCCATATAGGCTATTTCAGAAAGACTTGAACATAAAAAGCTTGTAGCTATTTAAAGGAGCAGGAAACCTTTTTACCTGCCATGGCCTATAATGTTACAAGCCAGAAGTGTGTATTGTAGGAAGCAATTACTTGCCCTAGCAAAACAGACTGACCAAAAAGTTGACTGCAAACTTCCCCACTAAGTCCTGTCGATTCCCATTTGGGTAGCTTCGTCTGAAGTTACCCTAGGTATTTTTGCTTACCTGCTCAAAGCCACTAAACTGTTTAGAATATTTATTAGTTACACTGGCAGTCTAACTTTGAGTGTGCCATAATTCAACTGGAATGTCTGCATTTAATGGGTTCATGCCTGCTGTAGAATACTCATCAGTTGGCACCCTGTACCGTTTAAGGTTACGTTAAATCAGAGGGGTTTGCATGATACTAGAAAACATTTGTACCTATTAAAACTTAGAAGTTTCAGCTCACTTTTCAGATTTTTTCTTATACACCTTCTGTTCTCACAAGAGAAGAATAGATTGTGCCAGGTGAGAGTTCTGGTGCAGTGGCACCATGCAGTATGAACATGCATTCTACCTTTATAAATACTTTGGACAGATTAAATATGGAGTGCTTCTGTATTTAATTTCTTCTTCCTCTATCCTTAAGGTAATGCTGTACTTACCAGCACATTCTTTAATCATAGCAGCTGGTGGGAATATCAAAGCTAGTTCAACAGTAAGGTAAAAAGGTTTTAATGATATTAGAAAAAAAGACTTTAACAAATTTAAAATAAGACGGTTAGTACAAAAGCATCATGATACTATACTGATGATTAGAAGAACAATACAGGCAGGCAAAATACAAGTCTTCTGCCCCACAGCCTTACAAAGCAAGTATTTCCACCTTTGCTGTGTTTTACAAGTTAGCACTTACACTGCACCCAAGAGGCAGGAGTTCCTTATGAAAAAGCACAGAAGTTAAAGGACTTTGAATTTACCTTAGCTCATTAAATTAGCATGAGAATTCAAGTTCCTAGATCCACACTACAGCTTAAAGCCAGACAGCACCTGGAAAAACTGCACAATGACAGCTTAACTCGGCCAAATCACAATAAACCCTACTGAAGAACGAGCACTCTGTGTTCAGTGAGCAATCCTCCAAGTGCCTTCTTTCTGTTCATTAACTGGGCCTCAAAGTGTCTTCCAGGAGGTCTTCCATCCCTTACGTTGAAAACGGTGAGAGGACAAAGTAAGCAAACTGCCTGGCGCTTCAGAAGCTAGATCCACCATTATCAGGTGGAAGCTTCTGGCTCCCAACCAGGTATTCAAAGCTGAACCCTTACATGCTGTGTTCAGCAATACCATTGTTCTAGTATCCTGCAAAAAGTCAGAATCCCTTTGGTTACACATGATGTGAATCATCGCAGGAGTTTAAGCCTCAGGACAATGTCCAGATTTTAGTTGTCTATAGCCACACCACAGTATGACCAGCAAACTATGGCTCCCAGGATGTATCTTCCTTGTATTGATTCTAATGAAAAAAAAAAAAAACAAACCAAAACCAAAAGGCAAGCAGCACTTATTTTTTGCGTTTTGAACTATGCCAGTCTCCCCAGGGTAATGTTTTCTTGCCCTTTGACGTGCTCCTTAGGGAATGCAAAGTCTGCACTTGTTGTAGACGCTTGGAGAGCTCCTGATCACAGGCTTGCTGCAGAGCTTCAGCCTTCTGCTTGTCCCATCTTAGAGCCGAGGCCAGGGCTTGCGTGTCTTCTTTCAAGACCAGCTGTAGCAAGACAGATTTCTAACAGTCTTTTCTACTAATGCTCCTCCACCACCAACCCCTCTGCCCACATTAAGAGCAGCAGTAATGAGACACCTGTTTAATACTGGCAGTTTGGTATCGAACGTGTTCCCAGCTTTCATCATCTATCCCGTGGGCTACTGTATTTTCAATATTCTACCAACACTTAGAGCTTGAAGCAATATTCAGATGTTCAAAGGAACAGAAAGCAGTTACTTAGTTTCTACAGCAGGGAAAAAGCAAGAGAAGCAAGTTCATAGCATTAGAAAGAACATATTTTCTAATGGTTAAAGTTTACCTAGACTCTCCTTTCCAAGCTATGGGTTTATTTACACTGTTTTCCAAAATAAGGAGGTTTTTATTTTGATTTGGGGTGTATAAAAGAAATATAGCTAGATGTATCTGCATACAAAAAACCCTTGCTGGTAAGACAGTTGAAGCACTGGCTGACTATGATTTGGCAGAGATCAAACGCAAAACTATTTTGTGGCTTTTCAGAGGGCAGACTAGATTACTTGGAATAGTGTCAGTTGGCTATTACAGAGGAGCTCCAAGCAGGGGGTAATGTTACTGAGGAAGGGCAATAGATTACATCTCACCACTCTGAGACTGAGACACATTGACATTAGAGTCTCCAGAAGCAAGAAGCTTCCCCTATAACCTCTCTCTCTAGAGGGAGAGATTTGCCAGAATATGGTTATGTCATTCTCACCCACCTCTAGATCCTGGCTGTCCAAGCAGAGCTCTGGAGCAGGCTTTTCTTTCAGAGCAGCGAGGATCTGGTCACTGAGCGCCGTTTTGGCTGAAGTGCCTGTACTGCTGGTACCTGTGTCAACCACATCCATCTCCTTTCCTGGTACAGTCTCAGATTCTGAAAAGTAGCAGAATCGTTATAGCCCGTGACAAACATAGGGCAGGAAAAGTGGCCTGGACTGCCTTGATGGTTTTGAGATTAATAAAATATTAATAAAACATGCATTCTATCTAGGTGCATCCTCTGACTTAAGAAATCCATAATGTTAGGGATGACGACATGATTTAAGCTTTTCCCCCAGTAGTCTACCTTCAGGCCTTGTGAAAAGTGTGACACAGCAGTGAGAGGACTCCTGGTCTTACCCAGTCAGAGAATTCTTACACCATACCAGCTATTGCATCAACCACATTAAATGGCTGCTAAGCAGGTGACTCACTCCAGTCCTTCATTCTGCCTTGTTTATTCCACCCAACTATTTCAGGCATCTCTGAAAAGCTCCTTCGCTAGCAGCCTAATGCTCCCTACCTGCTACTTTGCTTAAGATACTGTCTTCATTTTTCAAGGCCTCTAGGTAGAGTTCCAGGAGCTGTCTTGACTGGCGTTCTTCTTCTCGTCTGTCCAGCACCTGCTGCAGGGTGTCCTGTAATACTTGGATTTTGGTTTGACTTTGGGCAAGTTCTTCTGCCAGGTCTGCACGTGGTACATCAATAAGCACCTTAAAACAGTGGGAGTGCTCCTGTTACACGGACTGACCGAGTAGCTCATTCCATTACACTGATTACAGTACAAACAGCAAGCCTCCTGAATGACAGAGCCTCCACCTCCATGAAAACCAGCATGTTTCACAAGGTTTCTTGTCATAGCAAGACAGCCTCGTTATGAGAGGCTGCAGTGGCACTCCAGCAGCCAGCATTCTTTACCAGAAGCCAAAAGGCACCCAGGAAGCTGTGGAATCGTCAAGATTTCTGTTAAAAATGCATGCAACTCCTGGCAATCAAAGTAGCACTTTTTAAGAGTGCATGGGAATACACAAAGGAAAGCCAATAGCCCGACACTTGGGAAGCTGCGCGTTGCAGGAGGACAAGAAGAGGTGGTTACCACTGTGCCTCACCACATACAGGGTGTTAGGCAGTCAGATACTCAAATCAACCAGCTCTGGAGACTGACAGCAGTTCTTCAGACCCCTGTGGAGCAGACAGATTTGGCACGCTGCTCAGCCTTCCCTTTTGCCACATTACACAGGTGTCTGGTTTTAAGGAAGGAGCCCACCTCTGTTGCCATTTGGCCAAATCTTGACTTTTTGCCCTCCCACTGCCAGGACTGGAAAGACATGCTGTGAGGGACAATCAGTGATTAAGAGCATCCTCCTCAGACAGGAGTGTTGCCCCTCAAGGAGAAATTTGACTCTAGCACCACAGCCAAACAACAGCAGCTGAATTAAGCTTGAGATCTTGTTTAATTATTCTGTTCTCTGCCATCTACTAAGATAAATGGATGATAGGTAGAGTCAAGGACAGCAATGAGAGGTTTCCCCACTGTACCTGGAGGTCTTCTTCAGACATCAAGATGATATTAGACAGGTCATCCTTCAGCTGCCTGGCCAGCTGCTTCCACTTCTCTGCAGCACTGTCCACTTCATCCACAGACTCCGAGAGCCAGGCCGTTCCACTGTCTGACGCAAGAGTCATCAGTTCCGTGGGTCATCCCTGACCCACCTGAGACAGCCTCATTTCCCTAGGCGTATTCCGAACACCCCTCCCCCTCCATGCTCCCTCATCCACAAAGTACCTAAGCTTTTGCTGGACCATTTCTCATTCTTGGCCAGTGCCACAAACTTGGTGTTAGACGGCAGACACAAAAAGTAATCTTCATCATCCACAATGGTGCCATCTTCTGCCAGTACTAAGGTGATGGGCTCCCTAGCCTTGTCAATAGCCAGAATCCCACTAGCTGCAGGGCAGAAAAAATACTCAATGAAATGATTAGTGACATACACCCTGCCCTTTTACTACACCCATCACAAGAGACAGCGACTCCTAGTAATTTAGGCTAGAGACCGGGACCTGTCTCCACACAGCGCTGCGCATCAGCTCTTTTTTAGCGCATACTCACGAGTTTCCCCTCCAGGAGTTAACACTCTCGGTGCAAACCCTGACGTACACATAGAAGAAGGCGCATTTTGGTGAAACTGCTTCCAGGCGCTCACCCCC